TTGTTGTTCTGCCAAGCAGTTATCAACACATCTGACCATTTTTTCTATTTTTGCTAAAGAGGCTCCCTATAAAATGGTATATAAATGTTATTAGCTTTACTAAAAACCAATGATTTAGAAGTTAACCTGGACCCTTCCATGTCATTCCTCCTTAGTCAGCATCCACAGTTGGTTTACTTTCTCATTTCCTCCAACTTGCTATGCTTTCTTTACTACAAGCGTCCACACCAGTTCCCTGAACTCCTTTGTATTTTCTCAGCCTCACTCTCATTCAGCTCCACACTTTCATCAATTCTTACTTCTTTTTTGCCTTGATTCAGAAAGTAAATACATCCTCCTGGGCTTTAGAACCTATTCCTTTCCATTTCCTTTAGGGTTCTTTGTGCTTCTTAAGGTTCAAACTCACTCTTGTCTACCCTTAGACTATAAATACATTTGAGTCTCACAAGCCCTGTACAATATTAACTCTTCTCCAAACCAAGTTATTGCCTTTCTTTTCCCAATAGATTTTGCCCTCACAGTTTTTCTGAGTCCTAAAAACTCTGCCATAGCCAAATTTAATGGTTATCTGTTTTACCTTGTTATGTATACGTTCTCCTTAAAAAAAAAAAAAAAAAGCTAACCAACTACATCTTTATCAAAATGTTTTAATAATTCTAGCCATTCTTTTCCTAACTCTTTTGGTCCCTGTTTCTTTTACCTACCTTTTACTTGCTGCGGTTTTGTTCTCAGTCTAAGGAGGTCTAAAATGTAACCCACACGTTTACTTATCGTAGCTCCAGTCTGGCCCCTCTGCTGACCGTAGAACTCATTTCCCATTACTTCCTGGATACCTCCACACAGATGTTTCAAAATCATGTCCAGGTTGGAACTCACAATCCTTCCCTCGGACTTGATCCCCTCCCCTTGGTATTTTCCCTATTATCTCTCAGGGTGGAAACCTTTGTGTCCTTTCCTTACAGTCTTATCTTCAGGCAGCAGTACACTGACTGGGAGCTCACCCGATGTCACTGCACAGTTTATCTCTAAATCCATCCAGCCCTTTCCATTTTCATTGCCAATATTCATACTCAGGGCTCATCTCTCTTCATTAGGAGTAAGAAAGGAGCTCCTTTCTGGCCTCTCTATTTGTGATCCCGTTCTCTCCAATGAACCCTCTATATTGCTACCAGAGCAAGGAATGTCTTCCTTCTTTCATATCCCTAGCAGCAAGCATAGTAGTTATAAAACAGGATGCTCCATAATTGTTAAGAGTGAATGTGCTACTCTTAAACACAAACACTACCTCTGAAGGCACTGTGCTGCGTATATACAAATCCAATCTCGTTAGAGCCACCTAAAAAGCCCTTCACAGTCGGACCTCACTGTAACCTTCTAGCTTCAACATTCACTGGTCCTCCTTCAATACCTCAAGGATGTGGGGTCTTGCTGGCCCGCACTGTCTTTTGTTGTATCATCATGCCTTTGCTCTTGCTGGGGTCCCTACCTCACTTTCTTACCAGAAAGTTTTAGTTCAAATGTCATCTTCTTCTTTGAAAGCTTTGCTCATCAACACCCCTTGTCCTCAAGTAGTTCTAACTGCTCCCTCCTTGCTTCTTAGGTACTTTAATACCTTCCTTATGAAATGTATAATATTTTATTCCTTCATTAGAGAAAATATCCATCTCCTTGAGAGCTGAGCACATAGTATATGTAACAGAAATTGTTAGCATTCTCTTCTTCCTGTTTAGCCAGATTGTACTTTCTTAGCTCCTTGAAGTTAAGTGTGGCCATTTACCTGAGTTGACGCCAATGGGATGTGAACAAAAGTGATGTATATCATGTTTACATACATGGCTTATAAAAACTCCCATGTAATCTTCATTTTCTTTCCCTATCCACTGGCTGAACAGAGGACCCATGAGATAAAAAAAAACTGGGTCACCGAATTTGTGCAAGGAGCAGAAATCCTTTGCTAATGGCCTGCATTACACAATGATACGAGCACAAAACATTTATGCTGTCTCGCGTACTGAAATTTGGGGGTTAACAGTAAGAGTTCAACGAGTGTTTCCTGAAAGTGAATAAAGAGGATTTTGAAAGTTAACACAGGTATTATACTGTTCCTTCTAAAGTGAAGTCTGCTGTCAGAAAAGAAGCCCTCCATGGCTGTGTTCCTTGATGGTGGCGAGCAGCAGACCATCAAGGGTCTGCAGAGCTGTACGTGTGTGCAGTCAAGGGCATATCACCAGAATTTATACTGATCTTTACTGACTTATTGAAGTAAATAAATTATTGGAAAGTTCCATAGATAGAGGACTTTTTAGATTATTACAGCTATTTGCTTAAGTTAGATTTTAAGTGATTTGTGGAACAACTTTGCATACCCTATGAGAGAAAATCTATTGAGTTGAGAATTGAAAAAGACTGACAGGGTACCCAACTCATCCCCTACTTTTAGAAAGGGATGTATTAATATTCCCAGAGAAAAATTTTTAAGGGTTTAACTTTTCTCCTATGTGTAAATCTCATCTGGAAGTTCTTTTCTGTATGTAGTCCAGTCTCTGAAACTGTACCACCATGAACAGAC